AAATAAATGAGCTAAAAACGGTGTTTTTACATTATTTAATTTATTTTGATCATTATTTTGATTTTTAATTATATTTTGAATATTTTCTGGATTTAATTCATCTATTGGAAAAATTTGGGAAATTGCCATTTTTCAAGAAAAAAATTTTTTCTGAATTTTTAGAGGACAAATATGAATGGTTTTTTATTTAATAGGAATTCACAATAAAACATAAATCGGTAAAAAAAAAATTAAATTAATTAATATTCTTTAAAAAATGTGCTGATTTTTAAATTAAAATAAAAGGAATGCGGAGTGACAAAAGTAAATTTATTACCTTTGCCCAAATTATATTTAAAATGTATTTACTGATAAGCAATTGTTTTAAACACAAAATAATTACTTTAAATGTAATTATTTATAATAATGTGATAATCTTTTTAATTAAGACCACTGCTCTTTGTTTTTCCTTCACAAAACCTTCACTTAAAAATTCTGATTTTAAGGGGGAAGCGCGAACGCTGTCCCCCACACTCAAAAATTTAGCTGTGGGCCTACCCCAGTTCGGAGCCGCCCTGCGGGTCAACCTCGCCCTTAAGTGCAATGGGGAAGTCTCACCACAGACGCCATGCCTTCGTGATCGCATGAGCGCCCCAGCCAGGTAAGTTTCAGAGAGGACAAATACCTAGAATCTATTAAATATTTAAAGGAGGAAAATGTCAGTTTGTGAGGAAAGCTGTTTTGGAAAGGAAAAATGTGTACTCACTCGAATTTTCTCTCATCTTTCACTACAATTTTATTTCTATATTTATTTTTCTTATATTTCTAACATTAACACTATTTTTCTTTCATTGGAGAAAATGAGAGAAAAGCTTTGGATATACTAATTCCACAAGAATCTTTTTTAATTAGGTTTTTCCTAATCCTTGTAGGAGAGTTGGCATTTGCTGCCCTGCATAGAGAAATATCCGGATTTTAAGCTTTTATTTGTTAGTTTACCCCCAGGACAAAGTACAGTGTGTTAAGAAATTATAACCCCCTTGAATTTTTTTAGTTTCACTATATTCCCGTTGTCGGATTGTTCTGAAATTTTTGCAGTAGTGTTGTAATGTATATTAAATAATATTTACAAAATATCTTTAAAAATTTTTGATCTCAGACTTTTTTTGGACATTTTTCCAGAAAATTAGTGTTAATATATTATAACCCCCCTATATTAAAATTTTTTTAACACACGAGATATCTCTACAAAAATTTTTCTGAACATATCTACCAATATAGATAAGAAATAAAAAAGAAATGAAGTTCTGATGTATTCCCATCATCGAGATCTCGAAATCCGAAAATCAACGTAAAACGGGGGTAAAGGTCTTTAAAAAATATTTTCGACCCCTTACATGTGAAATAAAAATTTTATTTTAGGCTTATCTGAAAGCCCTTTAAATTTGCTACAAGATAGCATTAATTTTATTTTCAGAAAAAAATTAACCTACTATAAGAAATGGTGAGTTTAATTTATAAATTAAAATTCTATCTATTTTTGGGGGCGTTTGAGTGATTTCTATGACTTGAAGATTTATCACTTTGGCTCTCGACGGTGAATTTTTTCTGTATAATGAGATAAAAACAAATTTATAGCAAATTTAAAGGGCTTTCAGATAAGCTTAAAATAAAATTTTTATTTCACATGTAAGGGGTCGAAAATATTTTTTAAAGACCTTTACCCAAGTTTTACGTTGATTTTCGAATTTCAAGATCTCGATGATGGGAGTACATCAGAACTTAATTTCTTTTATATTTTTTATCTATATTGGTAGATATGTTCAGAAAAATTTTTGTAGAGATATCTCGTGTGTTAAAAAAATTTTAATATAGGGGGGTTATAATTTATTAACACTAATTTTTTGGAAAAACGGCCAAAAAAAGTCTGAAATCGGAAATTTTTAAAGATTTTTTGTAAATATTAATTAATATGCATTAGAAAGCTACTACAAAAATTTCAGAACAATCAGACAACGGGAATATAGAGAAACTAAAAAAATTCAAGGGGGGTTATAATTTCTTAACACACTGTAAAGATACTGCCAGAGTTTCCTTAAGTCTCGAACCAAGACAATGTTACAAAAATCAAAATTTTTTGTTCTAAAACGACCAAAAAGAAACAAAAAAATGGAAACAACCAAGAAAATATTTATTAAATTAAAATTTAATTTTCAACAAAATTATTATTAAAATCAAGAAAATTAAAATTTTTATTTTCAGGGCATTTTGACGTCTCATTTTTTGAAGTTAAAGACTGCAAAATTGAAGTATCAATTGCTTTATTAACAAATTCCCCTCTAAATTCAATAAAATCATTAAATATAACTTCCATTGTTTTAACATTAAAAGGCCTTGTTTTTATCCCTTTTTCTTCAAATCTTAATTTAAATAATTCTTCAATTTCTGGAAATTTTTTGACAAGAAATTTTTCAGCACGTTCAGTATCTTCTGGCCAGAAAAATAATTTCCCAAAAGATACTACCGATCCAATTCTTGCAAAAGTTCTAAAACAAATTAACATTGCTTTGTCCACAAAATCTTCTCTTTTGTTGTAGTCTTCTTCAAATTCTTCTTCAACTTCCCCATTATTTTTGTTTTGTGGTTTTAAATGGAAGCCTTTTCGAAGTTCGTTTAGTCCAATTTTATAAGTAGCGTCGTCTACAAGAAATGGAAGAAGTATGGTTACAAGTCCAGGCTTTGTTCTATTTCCGTGTAATTCTTTAAATTCGTCTTTTGAAATACAACGATTTGAAATTTTTGATAAAATTTGTTGGTAAGTTTTGTTGTAATTTAGTGATTGAATTTCTATTGATTCTAAGTCAGTATTATTTGATTTAAGATTATACGACAAATAATTATTTTCAGTTTCGTTAACTTTAATTATTGTAGAATTTTCTAAAAAAATTTTTTAAATAAATTTAAATTTAAATTTGCGATTCCCGGATATCGTAAGACTCTGGTCACAAAATTCCTAGAAAATCCAGGGAATTCCCAGAAGGAATGGGCTAGCTTGACAAAGAGTTTGGGTTGGGTTTACGACCAGTGCTGGACGATTGCGAATTGCGTGTTTTTTAGACTTACGGATTGCGTATTGCGGCAGCAGATTTTAAAAATAAAATTGCCAGTTGCGGATTGCGGGGGCGCAAAATTTTTTTTCAATTGCTCCACCCCTGTTTCTGACTCAAATCCTCCAAATTTTCTTCTGATCGGGTCCCTGATCCCAGATCTAAAATAAGGTTGAGCGGTTTCGAGATTGGTAGCATCATTCTAGAATACCGAGACCGCCCAGCTCTACTCTTACAACAAATTTACCGATACTTCCGATTTCCTTATAAATTAATTCCTCAGTTTTGTCTGATTTTACACTGTTGAAAACAAATAATATAAAAAATAAAATAATTAACATTAAATATTTTTAAATTTATTTTTATTGTAAGAACTAAAAATTATATTAAAGATTTGGAAGTAATAAATAATGGAATATGTAAAGGAATAAATAATAATCTCAAAACAAACTTTTAATTTTTTAGGTCAATGTCTTTTATGATTTACTAAATTGGCGTACATATCTTGGGCGGATATATTTTTGTTTATGAAAATTGTTGTACGTATGTTAGGATTTTATAGTTTATCTCATAAATTTGTTTACAAAAATTATAATTAAAAATTGGATAGGATAGAAAATTTATTTGTTATATGTATTTAAAAACGAAATTAAGAGAAATTTTAAGAGTTTAACATGCCACAAAGCCAGAATGGTTCCTTTTTTGTCTGTAGATTTACGTTATTCCAAATTTCAATTCAGATTCGATGTTCACAATGTTATCGTTCAATATATTAGACACTATCTCAAATATTTATTTTATCTCGACAAGATTTTTTTGAATCGTTTTTCTAAAACTCAAGTCAGAATTAAATAGAACCCAATATAGAAAATTTTAAGGGGGAAGCGCGAACGCTGTCCCCCACACTCAAAAATTTAGCTGTGGGCCTACCCCAGTTCGGAGCCGCCCTGCGGGTCAACCTCGCCCTTAAGTGCAATGGGGAAGTCTCACCACAGACGCCATGCCTTCGTGATCGCATGAGCGCCCCAGCCAGGTAAGTTTCAGAAACGACAGATACCCATCCTCTATTAAATATTTAAAAGAGGAAAATGTCAGTTTCTAAACAAAGTTATTTCATAACCAAAATTAACATACTCTCTCACATTTCTTTTACAAACTCTCGTACATTTTTATTTAAAACAATAATTTCCTTTTTTTCTCTGTCAATGCACTCTTTTATTTCTCTAATGATGGTTAGTAAAAGAAAGCTTCCAGCACATTAGAGTCTTAAAAAATCGAATCCATTTCAAAGAATTCTCTTTATTTTTTAAGATTTTATTAGGGCTGTTGGTCAAGTTTATTAACCGGTAACTTCCGGTTTTCGGTTAATCCAAATTTTAAAACCCCGGTTTTTGAGCACTTTTTAGGTACTTTTCCGTTATACACCGCAAACTAAGTACCAGCCGACTTTGAACAACTATAACTTTTTGATGCTTGATCCAATACAAATGAATTTCATATCATTCGAAAGCACTCGATAAGCTCTATCTTTTTTCCAACTTGATGGATCAGTCTAATCACCATTTAAAAAGTTAACCCGGTAAATGTGAAAAACACCAAATAACTATCAGTTTTAACTTGTCGGGGTATAACTTTTTAATGAGTGATCAGACTTTATCTATTCTAGTAGAAAAATACAGATTATCGAGGGCTTTCGAATGATATAAAATTCATTTGTATTGGATCAGGCATCAAAAAGTTATAGTTGTTTAAATGTCGGCTGGTACTTCGTTTGCGGTTGATTAACGGAAAAGTACCCTTTTTTGAAATTTCAATTAATTTTTTTCTATTTTCTAGACAACTAAAAAAGATTTACTAAAAAAATATTTCCTCTCTTTTTCCTATTAAAAAATAACAACAAAATCAAAAAAAGTTATGCCTTCTCACTCGACAACAACTACCAAAAAGCAGCAAAGTCCTCGTAAACGTCTACAACAAAATCAACAAATAATTCCTTCACAACAAATTAAAAGGCCAAAAATATTTTTAATTGAAGAAGAAGAAGAAAAAAAGAAAAAATCTTCGTCAACCTCTTTGTGGGTAGATAAATATAAGCCAAAAACAATTAAACAATTAATTGGACAACAAACAGACAAGTCCCCAACAAATAAATTACTTGAATGGCTTAAAAATTGGGCTAAATTTCATTTAATTCAAGGAGAGAAAAAGAAAGGTTTTTTTTTAATTTTGGTTAATTTAAATAAATAAAAATTTTTGTAGCTGTTAAAAAACCTTTTGGTCCACAAGCTGACGGTTCTATTTTTAAAGCTGCACTACTTTCTGGACCGCCAGGTTTTGTATTTAATTTATTGAAAGGTAGTATTGAACCGGACAGACCCTCTTTTTGCCTCCCCAATTTTTCCCCTATATTTTTTGCAAAATGGTCAGACTTTTTCCTTTCTTCAGTTGGGGAACAAAAAAAAATTGGGAAGAAAAAAGGGCGTCTGTCTGGTTTAATATTACCTATTGAGGCTTTATTTACTAACATTTTGATATGTATTATTTTATTTTTTAACTGATATTGTGTTTAGAAAAATAAAATTTCTTTCCCTGTTACTGAAGAATTCGTTGGTTTAGGATGTGGGTCTTTAATTACATTATTAAGACAATAATCTCTTCAGATTTATAATTTCAAATTGTCTGTGTAGCTTTTAAGAATTCTTTTTCGATTTTGAAAATTCTTAGGGAAAGTAAACTACCTATTCTTTAGGGGTATCCTGTTCTTTAGTTTGCTGTCCATGTAATTTTTTGTTAAACTTTTTAAAACCTTGAAAAAATTATTTTTTAATTAAAATTTTGTCACTCTATTATGCCGTGTTTACATAGGATGCGGCTTGCGTTTTGCGGCAAAAAATAGCATTTGAAATAAGGAGAGTTAAAATTGCGTCTCTTCATTACCAATGCTATTTTTTTCCGCAGGATCTTATTTTTCAAAAACAAATTTTAATTAATTAATTTTTTCTTAACTTAAAGGAATTGGGAAAACAACAGCCGCTGAGTTATGTTGTAAAGAATTGGGATTATCTTTTGTTATAATGAATGCGTTGGTTTTTCTTTAAAAAGATTTTTTAAATTTAATTTTTAGTTCTGATGTCCGAAACAAGGCAGCAATTGAAAAGCGTTCTGAACAACTTGTCTGTAACCAAATGGAACAATATTGCAGCAAAGACAGAGGTTTTAGAGCTTTTTTTAATTTAAAAATACATAACTTTCACTTTATAATTTTTTTGGGAAAAATTTTTATTGTTAACAATTAAGAAAAACTTGCTATTGCTCAAGAATAACTTTTTGTGTCAAAAAAACGATTTTGATATAAGCTAAAGCCTGGGCGTGTCTTACGAGAATGGAGATCTCGAAAAATTCTTAATCTTGATGACTGAGATTTTCGATCGATATTTCATCTCGTTCCCGCCTCTAATAAAAGCTTTGCAAATTAATTTTTTTTTATTTATGAGGGTATTTTCTTGTCATTCTTGAATATTATGTTTTCTTATTTTAGAAGAAACCTCTATAATATCCCAAAATATGGAAGGTAATATCCTTATTTGCCTCTATTTTTGTCAGTTTTATTATTAACTCAATTTCTATTTCAACAGCTTCTTCAAAGTCACCAATCAAATCAGAAGCTAAAAATAAAAAACCTTTTGATCATTTACTTATAATGGATGAAGTTGATGGAATGAGTGGAAATGCTGACAGAGCTGGGGTTTTTTTTTAAATTATTTTTTTAAAAAGATTTTTAAAAGATGTCAGAATTAATTCAAATGATTAAAAGAACTAAAGTACCGATTATTTGTATTTGTAATGACAGACAATCTATGAAAGTTCGTTCGTTGGCTAATTATTGTTTTGATTTGAGATTTCAAAGGCCTAGAGTTGAACAAATTAAGGTATTTTTTTAAATTTTCATCGTTTGTTTTAAGGGCGTATCCAGGGGGGCTGAAGCCCCCCCCCCCCGAAATGGGGGAAAGGAAAAAAAATTTAGGAGAAGGATAGTTGAAAAAGTGAAATTTTTTGGCCTACAACCCTCAAATTTCAAAAAATTTTCGCCAGCGGCGCTAGAAAAGGAAGAAATCTGGCTTCTTGGGCTCCAAATTCCAAAAAATTTTCGCCTGCGGCGCTGAAAAAGTAAATTTTTTGGCCTTCGAATTTAAAAAATTTTTTGCCTGCGGCGCTTAAACGATAAAAATTTATGTACAAAAAAATTTGCGGTAGGAACGCCAAAATTTTGGCGCACACCTAATGTTAGCCCCCCCCCCCCCCCCCGAAACCGACCCCCTGGATACGCCCTTGGTTTGTTTAATATTCGAGGAGCGGGAGATTATTGGGAAAAAAGGAAATTTTTTCATTAAGACGATTATTTTTCTTGTTGAAAACATTGTAAATTTTGTATATTGAGAATTAATTATTATCACTGTCATGACATTCCGCGTTTGAAAAAAATCCAAAATTATGACTGTTTTTGAAACACTAGAAAATTGCATATCGAGAATTTAGGAAAAGATCGATTTTTCTTTTTAGTTTTTTCAATTTAAATTTTTGTTGTAATCCTACCTTTACTGTTATTACGTTTAACATTAGAATTTGAATTAGGAACATTCTTCTTTCTCGTTAGCTCTTGGATTTTTGATATTTTTCTTTTACTTTTTTTAATTTTAGGGTTGTCTTTTAAGTATTGCGGCTAAAGAAAATGTAAAACTATCAAAAGATGTTTATGACAAAATTATTGAAGCATCTTCTCAAGATATTCGTTTGTGTATAAATACATTACAAATGGTTACAAGTGGACAAATGTCGATGGATTTTCAGAAGAAGGATATTTTGATGGTTTGTTCAAATTATTTATGAATTAGTTTGGAATTAGGATAACTTTTGACCTGATTGTTCAGACGTATAATAAGGAATTTTGACAGGTACCCCCCTCTCCTAAAAAAAAATCCTAGCTACATTTGGTTAGGAACTTTGTAATTTTTCATCAGCACTTTGGGGATGGGAATTTTCAAAAGGTGTACAACTTTCAGTTGCTGTCTTTAAGTTCTAACTATCATTTGTGTTTGCCAATTTCTCTCTTACCTTTATAATTTCAAGAATTTTTTTCAAAAAAATAGGATAAAGACATCCAAATGGGTCAAACTTTATTTTTAACAATTTTCAGAATATCTTTGAAGCTGCTCGCCAGATTTTAAGTGCGGATACTTCATTAATGTCAAAATCTGATCTTTTCTTTAATGATTATTCAATTCTGCCTCTTTTTGTACAAGAAAACTATCCAAATGTTAGAAATTCAAAAATGAAGTTTTTATCAATTTTTTACTCGAATTTTTTCCCAACTTTTTTTAGTAATCTCGACCATCTTCAAGCTATTCGACGTGCTTCTGACACAATTGCTTTTGGCGATATTCTTGCAAAACAGATAAGAACAGGTGGAGATTGGTCACTTTTGAGGGAACAAGTTTAATTTAATTTTTCTTTTTTTATTAATAAAAGTTCTATAGATCGAAAAAGTACGGGTATCCCCAACTTTTCGGGTCTGTATCAGTTCCGGGTATCAGAGGATTTCTCAGTAAACACTAACCGTATTTTACATGTATTTTTCTGTATCCTTTCTCTGAATTTGAAAAAATCATAAACTTATGTACACCTAAATTAAATTTTCTGATAAGATAAACAGCAAAAAAAGTCAACTGGGTTTCTTCTAGAGACTTTCAAGACAGTTTCTAATATCCCCAAAAAATCGTAATCGATAGTCTACGGTCGAAAATTGAAATTTCGAAACACCTTTGCTTGAGACTATATCTTTAACTATACGTATTGGCTGTTTTTGTTTTTTTGGATTCAGAAAAAACAATTGACTGTCTTTTGTCTTTTTTTGTATTCAGAAAAAAAAATTTATTTTGAAAACAAATTTAAAGAAAATTATTTTTCTAATTTAGGCAATGTTCTCTTGTGCTTTACCAGCATTATTTATGGACGGGTATATGACTGCACAAATTTCTTTTCCGGCATGGCTTGGTAAAAATTCTAATTTACAAAAACGTCAACGTTTATTACGGCAATTAGCTTTACATATGCATTTGAGGTTTTTTTAGGATTTTTTTGGAAAGGTTATTTTTTATTTATTTAGAATCGCTGGAAATATTCAATCAATGGTTCTTGATTATTTACCTGTCCTTCGTGAACGGCTTTATCGTCCTTTAATTGAAAAAGATTCTGCTGGAGTCCCGTAAGTTTTTTTAAAGAATTTTTTTGAAAACTAGGGGAGGTCCTGAAACCCGACGATCTTTTTTAGCTATAACCCTGACCTGAACCCCGAATGTTTTACCCTGACAACTCCCTGTCCCCGACACTTCTGATCCTGAAGTGTAGGGTTGCAATGCTATTTTAAACCATTGTTTAGAACCCTTTATTTTTGATGAGGTGTTATTTTTTTAACAATTTTTGGTGATATCTGTAGAATTATTTTTTGCGGTATCAATGTACTTCAACAAAATTTTATTTAAAATAAATTTTTAATTTGCCAAAATAAAAATTCTTCCTTAATTCTGGCTCTAATTTTGAGTTTTCTCTTTACTCCTTAATTTTATTTTTAACTAAAAAATTATAATTAATATATTTTTTAAGTGATGTTATTGCCCATTACAATTATTATTATTTGGTGAAAGATGATTCTGAAGCTATTAATGAATTGGGGGCTTGGCCAAATAAACAAAACAAAGATTTGGCTTCTTTGGTTAGCACTAAAGCAAAATCGGCATTAACAAGACAATTAAATAAAGAAAAACGATTTTTACCTTTTGCACAACCTATTGATATTAAAACTGGGCGAAGAAAGGGGGCGGAAACGAAAGGGAAAGGTTTGGAATTTTTGAAATATTATTTTAAAAAAATTTAAAATCTGTATGTTTTTTAATCTAAAATTTATCTCTCGAATATTTTCAAAAATTCATATTTAATTTGGGACCAGAGATTAATTTAATTTGGACCTTAAGTCAAAAATCTTCCTTTTTCTGGGCTGCAGGCGAAAATTTTTTAAATGTATGATAACCGCGAAGCCAAAATCCTCCATTTTGGCGCCAAAAATTCAAATTTTTTCAAAAATCGAAAGAAAAAACTCTCGAAAATCGAAATTTCGAAACAACTCTGTTTGGGGTCAATTTTTACTTCTTTTCATTATAAAAATTTTTTTATTTTTTAAAGTTGTTTCTGTGGATGAGACTGAGGAAAAAGAAGATTTGGAAGAAGAAGAGAATGATTTAGAAGAAGAGGCAATGGAAGTAAATATGTTACAAATGGAATATTAACTTTATTTATTATGGGAAGGAAAGTGGAGAAAAGAGGTGAAGTTTTAAATTATTAATTTACTTTTAGTTTTTTTTCATTGTTTATTTTTGACTTATCTCTTGTATACCTGCACGACTTGTGAATTTAATTTATTTATTATTTAAAGTTAACTAAAAACTTCTTTTTTAAGGTTATTTTTAATATTATTCCTACAAAATTTTTTGCAAAAACAAAGTCGTGGAGGTAAATTAAAAATCCCAATTTAGTTTTTATTTTTCTTTAGTAAATTACTGACTCAATTACTTTGTGCCTATTAAAAAAATTTTTTGTTTTGTTTAATTTTCATTCGAAAAGAGATTAACAAATTTGAATATAAAATCTGGTAAGATGTAATGTTTTAAATACTAGAGTTGGCAGTTCTGGATATCCGGGATCGAAAAGTCCGGATGTGTTTGTATTTAACCCTCCTCCCCAGTGTCACCATTTCACAAAATAATAAAATGCTAATTTAAAAGTTTTGTCACATCCTCTGCTGTGAATTCAGCCCCTAAAATACTTTGTTCCCATCTAGCTATTTTTGCCAATTCTCATAGAATAACAAATGCTAATTCAAGCGATTATAAATTTCCATCCATCGCCCATCAGCTAACATTTAAATTACTAAATAGTATTTACAATCTAAATGGAAATATGTATGTACTATGTATGTCGCGGACAGCGACCAGTGATTTTATAAATAGCTTAAAGTTTATTTTTGTTATTCAACTTACTCTTTTCATTGAATTTGCCTTTTTTATTAATTAAGCCATCTGTTTTATTCCATTTAAATACTATTTAGTTACAATCATTGTCAGTGTGCTACATATATTATTGTACCTTTTATTGCTGAATAAATTTAATCACTCGTTTAATTGCTTTTTTAAATTGGCAAAATCTTTAATTTTTATTGATTTTTTTACTTTTATTACCATTCTGCAATTTTGATAAATTTTTGATTTTCTTACTTTTATTTTCGAGCAAAAAAAGTTTAAATAAAATGGATTCTCTTCCACTGGAAGTCCAAATAGATATACTTAAATATCTCAATTTCAAACAATTAATATCAATGCAACAAACAAATATTTACTTTAATCATCTTATTAATGATTACGAAAATCAATTGGCACGGAAGGAATTCAGTGATATCTCCTTTAAATTTGTTTATAAAATTGAGTTCTTTTTGCTAATTTTTATTTTTTTAGCACTTTAATTTTTCAATCCAAAATTGCAAAAATATGTGTAAACCATTTAATCCCGAACCCGAGCTTTATGACTTTGAATTGAGTGAAGAACTCGAAGAAAAGGTTTAAAAGTATAAGTTTTTTGGCCCTATCCCAAAAGAAGGACGCAATCTTTTTTTTTCATTACCTGCAAGGAAAGGAAAAATGGAGAAAATGGAAAGGAAAATGAGATAGATGGACACGGAGTCCGATTTTTGTCTGTCCGAGTCCGTCCTCTCCATTTTTCATTTCCATTTTTCGCCATTTCTCCTTTCCTTGCAGATAATGAAAAAAACGATTGCGTCCTTCTTTTGTGATAGGGTCAGTTTTTTTAATAAATCGTTTTTAGTGGAAATGTGTAATAGAAAAGTCAATGCCTTTATTTGTTGATTATGGTATGCCAGATTACTATGGTCAAGTTGCTTGTATATTAAATAAAAACAATGGCGATGGAGAAGAATTTTGGGATGATTCAATTATTTCTTGCAATACTTTATGTATGTTTGAATATATAAAAATTAGAAAAGTAAGGCAGCTGGGCCATAGCTATTTCTCTCCTTCAGATAGTGCAAAAGTTTATTCGGCGGCTGCGAGCGAACCAACATCATCAGTAGACCGGACTGATGTATCTTCGGGGCAAAATCTTCGGATAAATTTTGAAATTATGTTTATTTTAAAATTTTTTAGCGATCGAGTTTCTACTTCCAGTAATTCCAAAAACTATTAAAGAAATGAAAATTGCCCGTTATTTATTTGAACAACTTTTTACTTGTGCCTATAAAGTTGCTAATTTTTATTACGTCATATTTAATCCCCAAATGCTTGAATTATTATTTGATGATAATAAAACAAGAATACCTTTAAGGGTTCATTCGCATAAATCTCTTCTCATTAAGTATAATGACACATCTATTTTATCAAAATTTGTGTTAAATCATATGCGTTCTTATCACTTTGAACCTCATTGTATTGAAAACAACGATGGTGATCAACCCATAGAAATTCAATTAAATATTCTGAAAAATGGAGGAACTATATTTGATCGAATTTCTTATGATTATCGGCATTCGCTAAAACTTTACAATCTTATTATAAAGGTAAAGGTTAATAAAGTGATCTTTGGGCTTTGTCTTCTAGGGTTCTATATGGTTTAACTTTCCTAAAATTTGATCCAATAATGGATATTTAGATATCTTTAAAGTCCATATCTGAAATTTCTGTAAAAAAATTTTTCAGAATAATCATCTAAAAAGTAAATTAGGTATATGCTTCCTATAATAAAGCCTATTAGGAATTGAAATTGAAAGAATTTCTGTACTACCTTCCAATTGGGGCTGTAATCCAAGATAGGGCTTTTTGAAAATACAATTTAATTTTAGCATATAGAAACATCACAAGACTTTTCTAAAATGGTGAAGGAGCTTAACTTAAGTTTTACTCGCGAACCTATTATAAGTAAAACAGCAGAGAATATCGAAATCAAAATTGGAAAGGACAATTTAAAAACTACAAAATATCAGCTTTCCAATAAACACAGTCCAGAAATCAAGTTTTCTGTTTCTGTTAGAGAAGTATGCGGTAGTATAAGATTTGATGTTGATTTTAAGAGAATTGCTTATTAAGATCTGTCCAATTGTGTTTACGTATTTTATAAATTAGAGAAAAATAAATTTTAATATTTATGTATAACAAGCAAGCTTTGCTATTTTAGCATTTTTTTAATATTATCAAATTTTATGATATTTCATAAAAATTACTGACAATTTCAAGAATTACTGATAAGAAAATGATAAAGGAAAAAAGTGCTAAAATATTTTTCCAATAATTTATTTTTGTTTTTCTTTGTCAAAATAAATTATTTTTTATGATAAATAAATTTGTATTAATTACTTTAATAACATCAATTAATTTATTTATTGCACATATCCAATGTAGAACACGTTGTGTTCGTGCAAGGGGAAGGGTTATCTGTCCGACTGATTGTAAATATTAATTAAAATTTAAAATTAATTTTCTGTGTTAGCTGACAGTCATTTTAATGTTGAAGTGAAACTTATGGACAGCGACACACTTCCTTGGGAAAATGACGATGAAATGGGTAATAGCCCTCATAATTTAAAAATATTTTTTTTATTTTAGGTAGAGCGAGTACAGATTTGCTGGGGAATTACACAGTAGAGGGCTGTGCTGGGGATTTTGGTGCTTGGAATGATCCTGACCCGTTGGTTTTTTAAGATTTTTATTTCTTTTTGTAATCTTAGAATTCTGATTTCTGTTACTTTTGTCAAGGCTTAAACGATTATTAGCTGTTTTTCCACAAACTTGAAATTCTGTTTTATCCCTGGGGAAGCTCAAAAATTCTGATTTATTATTTTTCTCTTTCAAGCTTTATTTCATTTTTAATCTCTAATAATTAACTGAAAACATACTCAATTTTTAGTTATATTCTGATTACTCATCGATGTCCCGAAATTGGACATGATATTTCTGTAATTAAACGAAAACTAAGGTATTTTTTGAATATTTTAAATATTTTTAAAGAAATTCTTTTAAGAATTCCAATTAAAGAAATTAAATATTGTTGAAACTACTCGTCTTGATTTGGAATGTGAAATTTGTTAGATAAAGAGAAAAATATTTTTTTAATTAGACTTGGCAAGGACACAGATTTCGGGGTACTTATCGGTTATCAAAATGATAGCTTTATTTGACTTTGACAATTTCGTAATTTTAGGCAGAAGGGGCGCAAAGGAACTAAAATAGAAGAAAATGTGGGGGAGATAACCGATAAGTACAGATTTTGGAATCTATTTATATTTATCAGGGATGTTACGGTATCCAAACCCCAATCCAAAGAATATTCTGACAAAATCTGACCCGAACCCCCGACTTTTTTCTCTCAGCCCTTGACATCTCTGGTTTTATATCTGTTTAATTTTTGAGTCATTTATCCGTGGTGTACAAGTCTGATTTTAATATGTATAAAATTTATTCTTCAAATCAAAATTTTTTCAATTTTTTTATCAAAACTTTTTAAAAGAAAAATTAAAAATAATCTGTTTAATGGCGTAATTTTTAAGTGGAAATAAAGTGCTTTAAGAAAAAAATTTTTTAAGAGCATTAAAAAATGTGAGCAAAAATGAGTACTTTTCTGCTAGCCCAAAACTTTTTTTGTTTGTTTTTGTTTGAAGAAAAAGTATTGGCTTTAACTTGTAATTGAAATTAATTCTTTTTTTAACAAATTTTAAATGATTTTAATTAATTTACAAATTTATTTTGTTGGATTGTTTAGCTTTACTAGTTTATTATTGTTTTCTAATGGTTATCCAATCAATCATAATTTTGAGAAAGACCAATTAATTTTTGTACAAACTGTGAGAATATATTAAATATATCTAAATGGGGGGGGGGGGGTAAAAGGGAGGGGAATTTTGTCTGTAGTATGGTCTCTTTTTATTTTCTCTCCAAATCTGCTGAACGGGTGTACCATAACTCTGGGTGAGTAAGTATCTCTATTCCCATAAAATATTTTAGGGAATACGGCGCCCTATCCAAAATAATAGTTGTACAATCACCGGTATAAGTTTTAACTGCAGTAGCTGGTGGACGTACAATATCGGATCTTGGGTTTTAACACGCAGAGCCGGGTACTTATTAACATAAATTTGGGAAGAAAATAGAAAAGAGTCATACAACGTTTAAAATTATCAAATGGGGGTTTAAAAACACAGATTTGGAGGCATGGTGATCGTTCTCCTATT